TCCATTCCCAATCTATCCACCATCCCTCCACCCACCCATCACCCATCTATCCACCATCCCTCCATCCCAGCTGACTGCCATTCCAAGGTTTCTAAAGGCCTGTGGTCCCCCCACCCCTCATTTCAGAATGGGCCTGTTTGCTTCAGCAATCCACCCAGTCCGCCTCCTTGTCACTCCCTAGGGCCGGGCAGAGGAGGCGCCCATTGGGGAGGTTCTTCTCCAGCCCCACCCTGACCCCAGGCCCCGCCCAGCAGGGGAGAACTTGAAGCTCGCCTCTGGCTCACTGCCTGCCAAATGGACCCCAAATCCCTCGCTCTGGCAGCCCGGGCTTCCCGCTGTTAGGTGCGCCGTCCACCTTCCCAACCTCAATGGGTTCAGGTGATTTCCATCCTGCTATGGGGATGCATCTCTTCGTTCCCCTACCCACCCCAACAGCCAGCACCGGTCCACTACAGCTGGGTTTTAGACACACCTCCACCCTGTCCCCCATGCTCACAAGGACACCCACCCCACCTGTCAGCCATCTGCCTGTGATTCAGCCTTCCAGCCCGTTTTCTTATCCGTAAAACAGAGTAAGGATAAAACTGGGCTTCAAAGCAGTTCGGTCATAGCAAAACGGATGGGTAAAACGTGAGTGTATCAGAACACTAGGTGGAATGGGAAACGTACTGGTGCCCTGGCACGGGAAACGTACTGGTGCCCTGGCACCGGAAACTGGGAAGAGGGTGGCACCATGAGTGAGCTCTCTCGGGAGCCTGCTGCGGCTACTGGATGATTGCCCCGGCTGTGGAGAGGGACACATTCACAGCAGCGGGGTTGGCTGCCACCCTGAAGCCGGGCACTGTGGCTTCTGACTTCCCCATTCCAGAGATTTGGTTGCTAGGTAACACACATCCTGGCCTTGTCTTCTCCTCCCTCCTCCTCCTTGTTTTCTAAGGAGATTCAGTTTCCAACAGGATGTGACCTCTAACTTTCCCCTTTCCAGTTAGGGTTCTGTGCTCCATAAAGTTGGATCCACTCTGGTTTCCCTTTGTCAGCCATGAATGAACCGGGAGGAACTGCTTCAAAACCCTCATCCTAAGGATGAGAGGCTCTGACCCTTATTTTGACTCCCAGGGTCCGGGAGAGGGATGTGAGGTGATACATATGACACAGTGGGCTGTGAACCACAGGGTGGAGAGTTCAAAACCAGTAGCCGCTCCTTGCTCCTTGGAGAAAGACCAGGCTTTCTTACTCCGAGACGAAAGTTACAATCTCGGAAACTCAGTGGGCAGGTGCACCCTGTCCTACAAGGTCACTATGAGTCAGCGTAGGGCAGGGAGGCTTTTGTCAGTCGGACACCCAGCACACAGTAGGTGCTCAGGAACTGAGGCCTTCCCCGTCCTGTTCTGAGGGTCCCTCTTTTGTCCTGAGGAATTTTAAACACGTTTTCCCGCTGGACTGCCCTCTCCGCTTCCCTTACACTCACCGATGAAGCCATCGTGTATCAGCTTTCTGAGGGCAGGGACTTGTC